TCGAGCGTAGAATGCCAACTCCCAGTATCTCTGCAGGCCTGCAAAAGTATTGAGAGTTCTCAAAGATCGCTTGAGCACAAGAAGCGTCGCTCGAGCAAAGAAGTCAAAATCTGGGCAGAAACCATTTTCAAAAACTAACTCCTGACCTGTTCCAGACGCAACCAAGGCATTCCAACCAAACTCAATGAGGAATAAGGCGAAATAAGTCATGAACAATCGTATAAGGAAATTAAACCTGGATCTAGAATATCAAACGTTCGGATCTAAATCAAAATCGCTATAGTAGTGGAAAATGCTGAGGATATTCTGTCATTCTCTTTTTAGTCTATTTTGCTTTACTTTTCACCCAACGATTTCTCTCCCATCATCTTCATTAGTTTTCTCGAGCTAGTCAGTCACATGTGTCACATCTCCATTGATTTCATTTACTTCTATCGATTCACAGTTCGAACCCCTACAAGTTGAATGTAACCCCAATATCATTTTAAGTAATGTTATTATTCAATAAAAATATTACAAATGAGATTTAATAAAATTGTCATGTGATATCATTATTATATTTAAAATTTACTCATCATAGCAAAGATGACAGTAGTGATTAGGTTGGATGAGATTAATTTATGAGTATAATAACATTGAGTGATAAGATTATTAGTGATAGTATTAGATTGGATATGTAAGATAAAATGTGTTTGTTTGTATATTAATATGGTTCTATTAGTTGGTTAGGATTAAATTTATAAAATTACATAAAAATTCTCATTAAATAAAGGGTGACTTTTTGTGTGTGTGCGTGTGAATAAAGGGTAAAATGATCTTTCCACCTTTAATCGAAAGAGATTGGATTAGCAATTCTAACTCCCCAATGAGAATGCTAATTACACTCTTAGCCAATGTTTGGAGTATGAATTTTGGTAGGAATTTGGAAAAGGAAAAGAAAAATATAGGTAAAATGTAAATAAAATATAATTACATTTTGGGTTTTTTATTGATAAATCTCATTTAGAGGTGTTTTAACCCAATAAGTCCACCAAGGAAAATTATAACCTAATTAGTCCCATGTATTTATGCTTTTATTCCATGAGGTCCTTTTTTCCTAATTTATATTATTTGTTGGACTATTATACCCTTATGTCTATTTGTTGATATGTATTACACAGAAAAAGGATACACATTTCATATATATATATATATATATATAATTTCACAACACAGCATACACCAACTCCATCATCTCAAATTGCTTCAGAGAACTTCACAGCACACCAACTCCATAAATGGAGCAACAACTCCAAATTCGAGCAAATTCTCAACCAACCCACAACCACCTCCACTTCTCTACAAGCTCTATCTCGCTTAATCTCTCATCCTCAACCTTTCCACCTCCGACTCCACCATCTCTTCTCTCCTCCAAACCCTTTCTCTCTCTCTCTCCTCTCCGACCTTGCTGCCCACTATCACCACCTCTCTTACTCCATCTTCCACACTATCTGTTCATTCTCTCTCCTCTGCAACCCCACCTCAACTCGCACCCTCGCCGAAATCATGATAATATATAGATAGTGTATATATTTTCACTGTGTTCATTATCACTATGCAATTGTGATGTTAAAATTCATGTCAAACTGTTCTATTCAGTCATCCACAATGTTTATTTGGCACAAAAATGATGTGATATTCACAATGTAACAAATAGATGTGAAGATTCACATTAATTCTAGTATATTTGTGGATGGATCATACACCT